CCCACCTCACAGGGTTGTTGTGAGGATAAATTGGGGAAGAGAAACATGTACACCACCTTCAGCTCCTTGGAAGAAAAAGTGATATATAAATGTACCAAAAAAAATTTAAATTTTTTTTGCATGTATTGCCTGCTGTCACTCAAATTCAATACTTTTCATTCACACGTTCTCTTGCTAGTCAAAAGGCTAAGCAATTAAGGCTGCAACCCTATCCCTGGGAACTTACTCCCAATGTATAGGATTGCACCGGTAATGCTCTTAAGAGAATCACTGATTCCAAACACGTCTCTCTTAAAGATTCATCCAGCTGCACCTTAAGAGCACAATATATCACAAAGCAGTACCCCCACAAGACTTTTTTGTTCACCCCAATAAACTGGGTGGTGTTGTTCAGTTAAAAAACAACAACACGTTTTCATGACATTGGTCATAGTAATGGAGTAAAGAGTGAAATATAGAACATTTCACCCTCAACACAATCTTTCTTGTTGGGTTTGCTCTCCATCACTCTACAGGTGATAAATTTAAGGTGTCATGTATATCAAAGTGTGAAAAAAAGCTGTTTGGCAATTCATAAATACCACAAAGTGAAGGGTTTCTTGATATCTTAAGTGCTATTTAATGAATATTTCAGAACTGGCATTTCCTGAATAGACGGGGGGAAGGCAATTCTTTCTCTCATACATTTTAAAACTGCATTCCAATACATCCTCCCTCAAATGCATTTTTTAAAATAAAAATAAACCCTGTCATATTATAGTGCAATTACTTCAAGTTTACTGTTAATCATTATTCTGCCTAAGGTGTGTGGTCTGTATCGACATTGTAACAAAGACTTTTTGGGTGCCTATTGCAATCCATAGCACATTAATTTGAGGCATATTTAGTTAAAATCAACTCAATCTGGGCTGCAATCTTCTGCATACTTATCAGGAAGCAAGACCCATCAAACTCCATAGGTCCTACTTCTGAGTAGCTATGTACAGAACTGTGCCACATAAGCATATTTTAAACTGGAGTGCAACATAGTTTATTTGTAGCATGATCTCAATTCCTGCTGCACAGAATAATAATAAAGAGATAAAACATCAAACAGTAAAAACTTCCCTAAACAGGGCTGCTTTCAGATGTCTTCTAAAAGTCAGATAGTTGTTTATTTCCTGATGGGAGGGTGTTCCACAGGGCGGGCACCACTATCGAGAATGCCCTCTGCCTGGTTCTCTGCAACCTCACTTCTCGCAGTGAGGGAACTGCCAGAAGGCCCTTGGAGCTGGACCTCAGTGTCCAGGCTGAACGATGAGGGTGGAGATGCTCCTTCAGGTATACTGGGCTGAAGCCATTTAAGGCTTTAAAGGTCAGACTTCACAATAAACCATAGTTTAGTGTGATGTGAACAAACCCAGATGAGTCATTATTAAGGCTCATAATAATAATAAATTATGTTAGCTTATTATTTCACACAATGTTGCACGGACTGATCTTTTTGTATTTACTGCTTGTTAAGATGGTTATTTCAAATTGTTTCTAGTATTTGTTTTGAATTGCTATGCTTATTTTGTGAGCCACTTTGGGCATGATTTTGTAGGAAAATGGCATACAAATAAAGAGATTGTGATGAGCAAAGGCCTGAACCAGGCACTTACTCTGTCTTTTCCTGCTTCACCTGCAACACCCAAACCTGGGAGTGAGACACAGGATCTGAGACCAACAGATACAAAGCAAAGTTGCTCCAACTGCAAATATGTTTTCTCAGATCACTTTCCTTGTGACACTACAGCTTGATTCTGCAAGCCTGCTGGAGAGGCTGCCCCTTTACTGCCAGGGTATTTAATTGCAAATGTTTTCAGCAGGTGACTCAATTCCAGAGTCTACCTCTTTGACATCATGGAAAATAAAAGGAGAGAGATGTAAGTAACAGCCTTTCTAACATAGGAGTGGGTAACAGGAACTTCACTTTTTTTTATTTCCCCTTTTAATTATGCCTGCATACAATTGCACTTCAGCCTTAGGGATTTTGGAAAGTCCTGCTGGAATCAATTGGGTTTACTTCTGAGGAAACCTGGTTAGCATTAAGCTGAAAGCTAGCTGGCTGTCTTAACTGCAGAGCAATAAATCATGACATTGTGTTGTTACGCAAAGGGGATCATTATGCCCAGTCCTAAACTTTTATATGCTGGTGTGGCAGATCATTGTGTCAGGCGTTAAAGAAAACAAGTTTGCAGCCTGAACTCAGTGTGTTATTGTTGTGTGCTAACCCTGAATGTCAAGCATAGTTGATTGTATATGGATTTCTTTTGCTGGTCCCATAATATCCCCAACCATTTTTCACAGAGATGTCTACATCCTCTCCAAAGGCTTCCAATGAAAGCCTCCCAATTCTCTCTAGTCGTGTATCAACATCTGCCCATCGCTTTAGGCTGCCATCACATCTTGCATTTTTACTCTGTATTTTGCAATGTAGAAAAGGATGCTAAAGCAATGCTGAAGGTTTCTCTTTCAAATGTGCTAGCTGTCAAGGGAGTAAATGGAATTTCAATGTTAAGGGATAGCTTAATTATTTTTCCCCTACAATGCCCTCACACCCTCCAAACCTTGATTTCTGTAAAGTGAATTCTCCTCCTTTCGTAACAATTGTGCTGGGAAGTATGGCTCACTTCAATCTTACTGTTTTGGGGGTTTTTTTGTTCCATGGTTAAACTAGGAACTGTGTGGCAAACAACTTGGACTTGGTTTACAGAGTACAATAAGCCAAACTAAGGCTACATGCCCACAGTGGCATATTAAATTTCCCCATTTCACTGTTAATTTCTGCACTGTATTTGTGCTTTCACATGACAGAGAAGTCACTTCTGGAAATCTGGTGGAGGTTAAAAAACAGTTTCCGTATTAGTAATTACTTTGGGGTGGGGGGAATTTGTTTGCAATCCCATTATCCTGAAATATCGGGAGTGCAATGTGATGAAATTTAGGGAGGTATACTGGCATACAGGGACGCGGGTGGCACTGTGGACTAAACCCCAGAGCCTAGGATTTGCCGATCAGAAGGTCAGTGGTTCGAATCCCCACGACGGGGTGAGCTCCTGTTGCTTGGTCCCTGCTCCTGCCCACCTAGCAGTTTGAAAGCACATCAAAGTGCAAGTAGATAAATAGGTACCGCTCCGGCGGGAAGGTAAACGGCGTTTCCATGTGCTGCTCTGGTTCGCCAGAAGCGGCTTAGTCATTCTGGCCACATGACCTGCAGACAAACGCCTGCTCCCTCAGCCAGTAAAGCGAGATGAGCGTCGCAACCCCAGAGTCGGCCACGACTAGACCTAATGGTCAGGGCTCCCTTTACCCTTTACCTTTATACTGGCATATGGTTCTTTCCTGACACTTTCATGGGGGGAATCATTGGGGAACAGAAGCATGCTTGTGCCAAAAGTGTGAAGGAGGGGCAACTCTGTCCAATGGTCTTCGTTACTGTGCAACACCATGCACACTGGTATGAATGAGATTTGGTGTGACATGCCAAGGTATCAGCCAAAAAGCTATAGTGCTGTAACACAACAGGAACTGCAGTGTGAAAGGAATGTTAGAAGACATGACAGAAACCATAGTATTATATTAGGATACCTGCTCTGGGCCTCTTAACAATTTTTTTCTTCCTAGTGTGGCACACACATGTTCATCACTGGACCACTATGTGATGGCTTTCATAAGTACTTTTTGCCAGAAAGAGGCAGGCAGCCTATTTGCTTATTGCAGCATGAGAACCGGCATTTTGTTGTGGCTCCCTGCTTGTGAAACGCTCTCCCCAGGGAGGCTCATCTGACACCATTGTTACATATCTTTAGACACCAGGCAAAAACATTCCTTTTTCATCAGCTCTTTGGCTTCTAATTCTCTATGGCCTTTTTGTGTGGGTGAGATGGTTTAATCTAGTTTTTAAAAAACAGAATTGCCTTTTAGATATATTTTTTTAATGCTTGTTTTAATGTATGCATTCGCTTTTTGCTTAAAACATTGTAAGTCGCTTCGATTTGCTGTGGCCCAAAAGTGACTAATGCATTATAATAATAAATCTTATCATCACCATCATTATCGTTCTGAAATGACTGAAACATGGTTACTCTTGAGATAACTGCCAATTATCACCACACAGTATGAAGGCTGCCTCTTGGCTTTCCATGACTTCTAGGCCATGTGCTCCCTCTTCTGGAGAAGTATAAGGTCACGTAACCAGTCAGATTTAAACATTCACAAGCTGCTCATCATTTCATCCCCATTCATTCCAAAGTTAACAAATAAAACATGCTACGTGCAGATGCAGAACTGAAGCCAGAAGTTGCATTTCTTCCATAAAGTATTGATTGAGCTTTGAAATGAGCACACACCCAAGAAATATCTTATTCAGTGAACAACTCTCCCAGAAAGAGAAATGCATTTCTGTAATCATAATCATCTGGGATGGCAGATGGCAGAAACAGGACTATTCCGGGCTGCTAGGTGGATACCAACTTCAGCCTCCCCAGTCCTCTTCTGCACTTGCAGAACAGCAGCCTATCGGAAGAGCCTGAATTGGTCCAGGGAGAGAGGCCAGCACAGAACTGGGACCTTTCCCTGGGCTTAAAAATGGCTAGCTATGCCATGGGTAATTGGTCTAATGTATTTTTAGCAAAGCATGTGGTAGTTTTTGGCACATCACTTAGGTCTTTTTGGGCATCACTATGTGGGCATGAGCTAGCCTGGAGAATGCTTGGAATCACCGATCATATTCATGAAAATAGCAATTAATATAAAAGTACAAGCAATTATGCTTTTTCTACATGGTCAGCGATCCAGGTAACTATTTTTTTAAACATTCTGACTAGTCAAAATCCTTTGCATAGGTAAGCTGTGGCTAGCACCATATATCCTGTAAATAATTCAAATGGGGCATCATTCCATCATCAAGATTTATGTCTTCAAAACGCATTCCTAGAAGGATGGACAGGTGTGATTTGAATATTCATAGACCATACCTTGTAGCTTTGGGGTCCCAAATGACAATGTCAGCATCAGAGCCCACAGCTATTCTCCCTTTCCTTGGGTACAGGTTAAAGATTTTAGCTGTATTCGTGCTGGTGACTGCCACAAATCTGTTTTCATCCATTTTGCCACTATGCTGCAAAGAAACCAAAAACAGGCATCGGCAAGGAAGGGGATACATAAGCCTATTGCAAGCAAACTCACTCTCTATTTTGAGGAGTGCGGGTGGGATAACCTCACCCAGAAAACCTCTAGGCAGAAAATTTCAGTCTAAAAAAATGTAAACTCCCAGTAATATGCTGATGAACACAAATATAGCACCTAACAAGTAACTCTTTGTAACAGAAATCTTCTTTTGGGGAATAACCAGTTCAACACTGATAATCTTGCTCCTTAAAACTATCTGTTCATTTGTGGAATGTACAAAGAGGCAGTGTGGTGTAGTGGTTACAGTGCTGGACTAGGACTTGGGAGGGTTCGAATCCCCAGTCATGAAACCTAGTGGGTAACCTCATGACGGTCATTATATTCCAGCCTAACCTACCTTACAGGGTTGTTGCATGGATAAAATGGAAGTGGGGAGAGAGAGGTGTGCAAATCACCATGAGCTCCTTAATGGAAAGGCGGCATATTAATGTAATAACAAATAAACTAATCCCATTTGCTAGCCATCAATCTCCAGAGTGAATGGGATAATAAATTAATTTCAGTCATCTGTTGTTCACTTATTCAGAAAGTTCATAGCTCACAGTTCCATACAACAATTCTGAAGTGAAAGAACAACAGCAGCAGCAGCAGCAACAACAACACTGGTTCCGTAGGAAACCAACTTACAGTTGATTCATAATCGCCTGTACATTGAATCTAGTTCAGAAAGGAACTGCCTAACCAATAGAGTTCACATGAGACTGGTGTGGTACAATCCAAAGAGCTAGTGCAAGAAAACAGTTTTACATTTTGGAGCTACTGTAGCCTCCAAACAACCTTCAAGGCAGCCTCTTACAGATTATGCTAGAGTAGTCAAGCCAGACAGTTCCCAGAACATGTGTCATAGCAGTCTCTCTTTCAGTAAGTTTGTATCTTTCAAAGTATCTAGTTCACGTCCTGTGTGCTACGGAGAGTGAAAGAGGTGTCTGAGCAGGGCCGTTTTACTCATAGGTGCTAGGGGTACGGGGCCAAGAGTCTGGGACCCGAGAGTTGAGTCTGGGGAAGAGCCCACCCATTGGTTGGAGTGCTGTAGTGGGCTCTTCTGCTGCGGGCGGCTCTACGCCATGAGTTTGGGGGCGACCAAGCCAACGAGACGCTGAGGCGGCCGGCTGGGTCCACCCTCCTGTGCGCCTGGGACTGGGCAACCGGCGGGGGGTGCCAGGTGGATCTTTGCACCCTGGCACCGTATATGCTTAAGACAGCCCTGTGCCTGAGGATTTAAGTGCCTCCTCAGAGGCAGGTGGCTAACTTGTCACTGTTGCTTATATTGCTCCCCATTCCGTCTGACAGCAAAGTAAATCCTACTCACCACTCCTTTTTCCCACACAACTGACATCCTGTCCTCCACCCCATTCACCCCATTGGGGATCTTGGTAAAATCATCCTTCCCCAAAGCCTTCTGGCAGATGTCAAAGGTACAGTTATCTGTCGCTGTCACAGTTAAGTCACCACTGGAAAAAAGAAACAATTCCAAGTTAGGCAAAGCTGAACATTCAGAAACAGAACTTGGTACAAATGATGGACAAAGAATCAATCACAAGATACTGGCTTGGTTCTCATGTGACAGCTTTCTGTGACCATGCAAACATGCTGGTTCTCAGCAAAGAGTCTGAACTTGCTTTGCTCCTCTCTGGTCCCTTTAAGACAGCCCAGCTCAGTGTGTCATCCAAATCCAGGATCATGGTTAAGATCTGTTCTCCTTAAGCACAACCTGTCATCATAGGACCAGCCTTGGCTATATGTAGCTGAGGATGTCTCTGTGCAGAACAGCCACCATAGAGCAAACTGCCGTCTGTATCCACACAACAGACTTCACCAGTTGGCTGCCACACGGCTATTTTTATTTTGATCATTTACTGAAGCTGGTTATACCTTGATTCGGAAGGGCTGTGGCAGAGTATCTGCTCTGCGAACAAAGCATCCCAGCCCAAATAAGTATGGCTGGCTTCATCTGTTTAATGGCCTTCTTGCTAAAGAATCCGGATGCTGCTAAGACGTCATACGTGAGCATTTTACATGTACACTGCATTAGCTTACTTTGCCAAAAGATTCATCAGGAAGTCTGGAGTAGCAGGATCCGGCCTCAAGGGTGGGCCCATGACATGTGCTGCAGCATGGGACCATTCCTTATGCCAGTAGTGAGTGCCATCCGTTCCAAGGCCGGCAGCTATAGGCTCCCCATAAACAACTTTCCCTAGTGGAGGGGGATAAGAAAATACATAGATTAAGAGGAGCAAACTAACAATGCAGGCTTGCAATATTGTACAATGTACAGCTGGCTACAATACAGCAACATCTGGTTATCATATATTTGAATACACACACACACATATACACACACCCAAATTCTACCAATATGGGATTCTATAGGGCTCTATCACACATCGATCTTGATGTTTGCACTATGAAATGGTGTATAAAAGGGTGATAACAGATTGGTCTTCTGGCCTAACAGAACTCTGATGGTGCAGGGTTCCTGATTGCAAGGAGGCTTCTAAGCCTGTTCACCTGAACAGGCTTAGAATCCCCCTTTCATGCCTTCACGCAGCAGACTGGTGCACAGTGGGATACTGGAGGGCGGGTACTTGTGTACATGTTTCCCCCCACTACTTTAACCCTACATACATTCAATCCAAATACATTAGCAAGGCTGGGGGGAAACCCAGCCAGATGGGCGGGGTATAAATATTATTATTATTATTTATTACAGAGAATCTAGAAACATGGGAGTTCTGATGACCAAAGATGAAAAAACACACAGAAATTAAACACTGTATTATGTTCATATTTTATTCTAATGCCTGTAACTTTCAGACGTTGCTTAATGGTTAAATTAGTGGAGATATGGCAAAACAGTCATCACATTAATCTGCAGCAGCCCAATGGCAAGAGTGCTGCAGCCCTTGAGAGATTGGTTTGTTTGGTTTTTGCAGACAATAGTTATTTCCCCTGCTCCCTTGTCTCCTCCTTTCCACTATTCTCTTGCTTAGTTTTTCTGACCTCCTGATCGTTATGTAAGGAGGAGGAGATGTTTTCCTTTTCCAAGCCTGGAAACTTAGAAGCTTGCCAACTTTCAGAGCAAAAGGTTGTTGTGCCTGTGTAGCTGTGTCTCCTACGCACAGGGCCCATAACAATCTTGGCAGGTAGGGTGAAGCTACCACAACCAACAAGCTCAGAACCTCCAAACAAAAAATAACTCGCTCATGATTACATTGAAATAAGCCCTGCTGGATTCAATGGTAGATTTACTGCCTCGTAAAAGTGCTTTTACAATTGTAGTCTAAGCCTAGTTTGATAGCCAGGGATGATTGTATATGAACAAATCTGAAGAGTGGCAGCTGCAAAACCTGCAGAAATTTACCCTAGATGATGGTGGTGCAATTTAAATACCAAAAAAAAAAAAAGATTCTAAGCAGTTTACAAAGTATAAGGAATGGTAAAAGGTAAAGGTAAAGGTACCCCTGACCATTAGTAGTAGTAGTAGTAGTACTAGTAGTAGTAATAATAATAATAATAATAATAATAATAATAATAATAATAATAATTTATTTGTACCCCGCCCATCTGGCTGGGTTTCCCCAGCCACTCTGGGCGGCTTCCATAGAAACCAAAAATACACTAAAATATCACACATTAAAAACTTCCCTGAACAGGGCTGCCTTAAGTCTTCTGAATGTCAGGTAGTTGTTTATCGCTTTGACATCTGATGGGAGGGCGTTCCACAGGGCGGGCGCCACTAACGAGAAGGCCCTCTGCCTAGTTCCCTGTAGCTTTGCTTCTCGCAATGAGGGAACTGGCATTACACAGCAACACCTTCAGGTCATGTGGGTTTCGCCTGTTGATTCCAGTATCCATCCGGTCAAGGCCAGACCCAGAGGCAGGGATAGTCTTCAAACAACGCAGGAGGCGCTGTTGGTTAAACCACAGAGCCTAGGGCTTACTGATCAGAAGGTCGGTGGTTCGAATCCCCGTGACGGGGTGAGCTCCCGTTGCTCGGCCCCTGCTCCTGCCAACCTAGCAGTTAGAACGCACATCAAAGTGCAAGTAGATAAATAGGTCCCGCTCCGGCGGGAAGGTAAACGGCGTTTCCGTGCACTGCTCTGGTTGGCCAGAAGCGGCTTAGTCATGCTGGCCACATGACCCAGAAGTTGTACGCTGGCTCCTTTGGCCAGTAAAGTGAGATGAGCGCCACAACCCCAGAGTCGTCCGCAACTGGACCTAATGGTCAGGGGTCCCTTTACCTTTTACCTGTACTTTCAGGGTCTGGTATGAATGCCAATAACATCCGAAAGAATATGGAAAGTACCCTACAGCCAACCCTGGATTAGGAGACAAATTAACAGAAAGATTATAGATCTGTTGACGTATGTTCAGTGAAGCATGTTTGATACTGTCACACTGTAAGTGACACTGTAGGCTGGGATAGGAACCCATGGCTCTCCAGATACTGCTGGACTCAAGGTCCCACCAGTGCAGCCAGTGGTCAGGGATGATGGGAGCTTTAGTCCAGAAATATATGGAGGCCCACCAGTCCCCCATCTCTGCTGTAGGAATGCTGCTTTTTAAAAGAGAGCTGTAGAGGTGGCATGAAGGGGTATTCCTGCCTATGGTCTGAGGGCAAATGAGGCAGTCATGTTGCTGAAACAAAGCAGGTTTATTTCTGGTCAGCGTCTGGATGGGAGACCACCTAGGAACTCCATATATGCCACTTTAAGGAAGGAAAGCAGGATGTAAACACACTTTTAAAAAGCCTAAATAATTATTTAATGCCACTCCGTCACCTCAAAAATATGTTACTGGTTTCTGAAGCACTATTAATCCCCTGAAAAACAAAGACACAATGGTACACACATTATCAACTCTCTAAAATGAAGGTGTCTGTTTCCAGGCTCATCAGAGCCCTTGGAAATGGCCATGAATTTAAAAAATGCCTAGCCCATTCCATTCTCTAATAATATAATATAGCCTTACCTACATTATTAGGGAGCGAGCACCACTGAATTAAATGGGAGTTACCATACTTTTGCGAAAGCATGTTTATGATTACACTGTTAATATATAAAAGCAACATCATTCTTGAATCATTGGAACCCTTTTCCAAGTTCAGGAGGACCCATGTTGTCCAATCTCTCGGCAATGATTCAGTGGGCAGAGGGGCATCAAAGTCAATTTGAGCCTTCAGTCAGTCCTTATAATGTCTGTGCCATATCAGAAAATACCCTGTTTCGCCACTTGCATGGCTTCCGATTTTGCTGTTTAGTTACCTCACACAGCCAGACGGCTTGGGACCTCTTGGAACAAAGATGCAGAAATTTCTATGTCATTATTAATTTAAAAGATCACTCCTGAGACAGAAAAGAGGATGGCAATGTTCATGCTTAATCACTGGTACATCAAGCATAATGGGGCCTGCATATCTGTAACTAACAGGCTAAACAGCAACCCCATTTAACAGATACAGCCTGGATTTGGGTTTAGACACTGCTACTCGTCGGCTAATTATTTTTCCTTCATTCTTTTTAAATAAGAGAGGTACTATGGCTTGAGGCTGTGTGGAAGCCATGATCTCTGACTTGGTTACGTGACAACTGCTTGGCTAGTGGTGATGCTTACTGAACTCACCATGCACTCAGAGCAGATGGTAGCTTGAGAAAAACCAGGCCCAAGTTCAGACCGAGGCAGAGGAACTAATCAGATACTTCACTGTTATTTATGTTGGCAGTTGTAGCCTAAATACTAAAGAAACAGGCCTGCCTGGTTGGACTATTCATTTATTTTATTTATATCCCATCCTTCCTCCCAAAGCAGCCCAGGGAGGGCAGCAAACGCACTGATGATAAAACTATTAGAACACCTGAAAACAGAAACAGTTATCCAGTTTCCAGATGTGCCCCTGGGAGGCCCCCAAAGGTTTGGTGAGCCCTGATCAATAGTATATGCACTTTAACATCTACAGAATTGTTGACGTTGTGCACACGATTCAGACTGAGAAAACACAACACCATGCAAAGATTCTACCTTTCCCACTTCCAATGATTTTGGACTGCCCTGGGGATTTTTTTTTTTTTTATTTTGTGCTTTGACCTACATATTTTGGCTGATTTCACAGTTTCTTGTGCTTTTACAAAGTTGAAGAAGGGAGGATGAGAAAGCGGGCTCCACAGCATTGTCAACAGTGGCATCTAGTGGACAAATCCAGTGCAACATGGCACAGAAGAGATGTTTTCCTAACTCACGGATTTAGTTCAGTTGGCCAGCTACTTACATCAGGGTTCGGATTTGGGGGCCCACGTGCAATGGCAGAATCATGCAAAGTCAGGAACCCTCAGAACCACACGCTGTGAGGCAGAGGGCACCCTTTTTACAAAGTCTTCACAACTCCTTCCCACAGACAGGTAAGCGAGGCACCGCCATGCTTATGTACTGCCTTCCCAAAGATGGGTAACCGAGGCGCCAGGCTTGGTGAAGGAGACAGAAGAGCTCCGGTAGCATCCCAGAGCCCTCACACTTCCTTCCAAAAGCTAGTCCCCTAAATGTTCCCAGAAAATTAGAGTATTAAAGTATTATTATTATTATTATTATTATTATTAAACATGCTGAATCCTGACAAGACAGAAGTACTGTTTTTGGGGGACAGGAGGCGGGCGGGTGTGGAGGACTCCCTGGTCCTGGATGGGACAATTGTGCCCCTGAAGGACCAGGTGCATAGCCTGGGTGTCATTTTGGACTCACAGCTGTCCGTGGCAGCGCAGGTCAAATCTGTGTCCAGGGCAGCTGCTTACCAGCTCCATCTGGTATGCAGGCTGAGACCCTACCTGCCCAAGGACTGTCTCGCCAGAGTGGTGCATGCTCCAGTTATCTCCCGCTTGGACTACTGCAATGTGCTCTACGTGGGGCTACCTTTGAAGGTGACCCAGAAACTACAACTAATCCAGAATGTGACAGCTAGACTGGTGACTGGGAGCGTCCACTGAGACCACATAACACCGGTCTTGAAAGACCTACATTGGCTCCTAGTACGTTTCCGAGCACAATTCAAAGTGTTGGCGCTGACCTTTAAAGCCCTAAGAGGCCTCAGTCCAGTATACCTGAAGGAGCGTCTCCACCCCCATTGTTCTACCTGGACACTGAGGTTCCGTGCCAAGGGCCTTCTGGCGGTTCTCTTACTGCGAGAAGCCAAGTTACAGGGGAACCAGGCAGAGGGCCTTCTTGGTAGTGGCACCTGCCCTGTGGAACACCCTCCCACCAGATGTCAAAGAGAACAACTACTACCAGACTTTTAGAAGACATCTGAAGGCAGCCCTGTTTAGGGAAGCTTTTAATGTTTGATGCATTACTGTATTTTAATATTTTGTTGGAACCCAGATGGGCGGGGTATAAGGTATAAATAATAAATTTATTATTATTATTAAGTATGGTGCCTCCTTCCCAGAGCTGGGAAGCTTCTGCCAGGCTTAGGGAGGAAGGCGTGATCCTCATGCAAGTGGCATCATGATGCCACCCCCCATCACCCTTGCGAGCTGGCGCCTCTGGCCCCAACGAAAAATGTCACCACACACCATCGCGCAGGAGGGCTCCGGAATGCTGTCAAAGATGATATTGCCTTTAATTGCCTTTAAGATGAGAGTGTTGCTGTCTTTGGAGTGCATGAAGGCCCTGTTTATCCAACTATTTTTAAGAACACGAGAAGAGCCCTGCTAAATCAGGCCAATGGCCCATCTAGTCCAGCGTCCGCTTCTCAAAATGGCTGACAAGATGCCTGTGGGAAGCCTGCAAGCTGGACCTGAGCAGAAGAACAACAACTGGGAATCTTAATACCTCTGAGAGGTGTTAGCTAGTAGCCACTGATTGCCTTGTCCTCCATGAATTTGTCTAATCTGCTTTTAAAGATGCCCAAGTTGGATTCAGGGGTAAACCTGGAAGGGTTAATTCCTAGTGTGTAAGGCAGAGTAATTCCTGTGCCGGCCAGATTTCCCCCCTGGAGTTTTAACTATTTCTGCCTGACACCCAGGGATGGAATGTCAAACCTGGAGATCTCAGTAGCACCGGTTGTGCAGCACCTCTGCACAATCTTTAAACACGCTGGGTCAGAAACGCACCTTGCCTTCGTGCATCTGCGATCACCGTGGCTGCAGACTTGCTCATCACATGAACTACGTAGAGAGGGCAGTTCACCGAGTTTGCTATGGTGATTGCTCTCAGCGTGGCTTCAGCTTCCACTTCTTCCGGGCGACACAGTTGGTGCCCTTCTGGACCAGTTATTCCCAGGGATAACATCTTCTTTGCACCCTGCAGGCCAGCCACAGCGACACACAAGTTAATGTTGCTACCAGTGGAAAAGTTAATGACTTCTCTGCAGCTCTGGTCCAGCTACCAGAGTAATTTAGAAACCCCAATAAGTACAAGATTTGAAAATCATTTGTACTGTGATGGTTAGCAACTTAGTTAGCTATGATTTGCAGTTTATCAGAACAACTGCCTACGTGCTTGATTTTTCTGGATGTTTCGTTTTTCAAAAACACAGAAGGCTTTGGAAATATATGTTGTGTTTATATCTTGTTATAAACCACACGTATTTGCTTCTATTCAGAGAAGTCTTTGGGCTCAATCCAGATTCACAGCTCATTCTTAACGGTGTTTATTCAGAAGGAAATCCTACTGAATTCCATTTAGCTTACACTAAGGTAAGTGGAGTTAGAATTGCAGCCCTGGTGATGCTTAGAGTAGACCCACTGAAATAATGTCACTTTGCTCCCAGTGACTATATTGTAAGTAAGTAAGTAAATTTTTATTTATACCCTGCCCTCCCCAGCCAAGACCGGGCTCAGGGCGGCTAACATCAAATGTCAAATACATTAAAACACAATCAAACAATTGATTAAAATACAGCTTAAAAATTAGAATCAGGATAAAATTAAATGACTGCCTATGAAATTACAACCATAGGGGTTGGGAACCTCAAGTATTCATCAGGGCCAGCTATCCATGTTGGTCCCACATGAGCCAATAAAAGGGCCAAAGAGGTAACTTACAGGGTCCCATAGAGGGGGGTCAAACTGAGCCTGGACTGAACAGCTCCATCTATTGGATCTACTTTAAGCATCCCTAAGGCCCTATCTGCACAATACATTTAAAGCAGTATCACACCACTTTAAAGAGTCAACTGTGGGAACTGCAGCATATTAAGTCTAGTGACTGTTGATAAAGGTAAAGGGACCCCTGACCATTAGGTCCAGTCGTGGCCGACTCTGGGGTTGCAGCGCTCATCTCGCTTTATTGGCCGAGGGAGCTGGCGTACAGCTTCTGAGTCATGTGGCCAGCATGACTAAGCCACTTCTGGCGAACCAGAGCAGTGCACAGAAATGCAGTTTACCTTCCCGCGAGAGCGGTACCTATTTATCTACTTGCACTTTGACGTGCTTTTCAAACTGCTAGGTTGCAGGAGCAGGGACCGAGCAACGGAAGCTCACCCAGTCGTGGGGATTCAAACCACCGACCTTCTGATCTGTGGTTTAACCCACAGCGCCACCAGCGTCCCAGTGACTGTTGATAGGAGACTCCTATTCCCCTCTCAGAAATGCAATTCTCATAGTGATTTGACCATCAATCCTCCTTCCTAGGAAACTCTGAAAACGGTACATTTGAGAGGAACAGGTGTTTCCAAACAGCACCCTTAAAATGACAGTTGTCAGATTTTGGAGGAGAAGCCATGAGACCCTTTGTGCTAGCCCTGCCTTCAACATCACCATCTTCCACTAGCTCCATCTCTTCTGACTGCATATTTGGTGAAAGTCTGAAAGGGGGTTTGTGAACATTTGGCTGTGCATACATAGGTTCCTTTGGATGACAGAGCCCCAGTTACACAGGGCTCCCAGTCATACGAGAAGACAATGTACTTTCAGCTGAAGACATGTAGGCTGCCCCTCCAGACATTAATTGAATGTGGGAAGGTTAGGAGGAGCAGAGATGGTAGGGCCAACATACCCAGTTCCCCTCTGCCCTCTGTCTGTTACCAAAAAGATGTGTAATTTACAAATCGTTACAATCTTAAATACACAGGTATTGCTGCAATCTGTTGCAGGCTGGATGAACACTCCTGTGTCACCTTGGAGATAGATAATTACCTCTGCAATCAGATCCCCATTTTCTGCATGGACTTGAGCAATCGCACCAATTTGTTTGCATTGCGAAAAGGCAGAGTGTAACTCTAGATCTCCAACCATATAGACACCTTTATATGCCATAAACATCTTAAAGGAGTTTACACCCTTCTCCTGGGCTAGGATTTTCATCTCTTCTTTAACCTGAAAACACAACAAAAAATTGTTAAATGCTCAAACCTCACAATATCCTCTTGAATTTATTTGGCATCAAATCTTACCATCTGACTGGCTAAATTATTTGAGTGTATTATTTGACAGAGATATTTTTACTTGAATGGCAGAACACTAAAATTTCTCAGGATATTCTTCAGGAGACATTAAGATTTCTCTTTGAAATGTTGTAACCGATAATTATGCAATACTTTAATGACATGAAATAATGTATTTTTTGAATTCTTGTTTATTATGAAAAAAACGAGCTATTACAGTATCGTTTTATAATTAAATAACTTTTAAATAAGCTTTTTTTAAAAATTCCCAGGACTAAATCCTCTACTTTAGCACACCCATCTTGGAAGGCTTCACCCCTGGGCTCCTGAGCATGGTGAAAATTTAGTTTATTACATGTATATATCATTTCACACATCCAAAAGTGTATTGAAGCTATTTAAAGTTATGAAATACAAAATACATGAAACACTTCAATAAAAGAATACAGATACAAAATACTAAAGGTTGTAGCTAAAGAAGTTGTCCCGTTCACGCAAGCTTGTGAAACTATTTATATATGCTACTACTGCGGCCCGTGTTCTGTTAGCCCAAAAATGGAAAACAAGGGAGATCCCAGCCAAAGAATAATGGCAACTTAAACTGATGGAATACGCGCAGCTTGCAGATTTAACATATAGAATAAGAGAACAAGAAGAATATATGTTTAAAGAAGCCTGGAAAATGTTTACTGAATATATAGGTGAAAATTGTGTTCATTTAAAAATGCTGGTAGCATTAAGATAAGTTCAACAGTGAAAACAAGTTTTGATGGATGTAACAATGGATTACTGAATGGCTTAGTTCATGTAAAATATGCAGGGATGCACTATATGCAAAATGAAAGAGAAGAAGGGAAGTCATTGATTTAAGGTTGTTTAAATGAATATTAAACTGCGGGAGGTAGTGGAGGACAGAGGTGCCTGGCGTGCTCTGGTCCATGGGGTCACGAAGAGTCGGACACGACTAAACGACTAAACAACAACAACAACAAAATGAATATTTTGAAATGTAAATCAGAAAATGTAATAATATATATATATAGAGAGAGAGAGAGAGAGAGAGAGAGACATAACTTTCTCTCCCTCTTCTTTCCTCACCAATCCTCACGCAAACCCCCATGTCAAATCTGCTCCAGCAAGCAGGCAGAAACCCTAAAAGAAATCTGTGGAGTGTGCAGGAGGGAGAAAAAGAAGGGGAAGGACCACTGAGCAAGCTGAGGTCCATGGGTGAATGCAGCAACTTCATCTCATACAACCCATCATGTTTTCGTCCAAAGAAAAATAACAATCTAAAACAGCACAAAATATGTACCTCCCCCCCACAGAATGAACACAAGTAGCTGTCCAGCAAGAAGCAAGAGGAAGAAAGGCAAATTTAAACCACCGTTTTCCATGCAATTCGCGGCATCTGTCCTTGGCGCATGTTGGACACACTTGAAGGAACAAACATGCTACTGGCCTTCTGCTTACCTTGTCGCTCCACCATGTGACGGCCACATGAAGTGCATAATCGCAGCAGACTTTGGGATCTGCCCAGCTTCTCCATCTCTCATAGGCTTCAATGAGAGAACAGCCTTTCTGAGGTATCGCAAAGTCAATGATCATTGTCGTGCCTCCTGCTACAGCAGCCTAAAAGAAAGGGGGGGAAAAGAGGTTGGCGATGAAGGAAGTGTCGCAAGGTTCTGTTTTCTCCCGATTACCCTTTCAGTCCCTTGCAAAATATGAAAGGCTTAAAATTCATGCGCTGTTGAAGTATTTATTTCAAAACTACAATTCCCATCATGCTCTGTCTCACCATTTTTTACTATTGTAAAGAAAGTAAAGTGGCATGACCACCCTCACTTGTTCGTGTCTGTGTGTGTGAGTGTGAGTGTGTAGGAGAGAATCAATTCTCTCATTTTTGCTGTAGCTAGTCAAGCCCAGGCTCAATGATTATTGGGAAGCTTGGAGGTTGGCTAAGTAATTATATGGGTTATGCAATTATATGGGTGGAAGCAAATTTTTGTTGGTAAGCACTGGAAGGAGAGGCTAAAGGGAGGCATACTGGTGTATGGCTCTGGATATCATTGATTCTGGGAGGGGAGTTTGGGGAAGTGCCATCTTGAGGAATGAGGGGGGGGAATAAAAAACCTGGATATTAACTACAGGAGTGCATATGTTAAATACTTTGTATAATTGGTACACATATAATTGACAGATAGAGAGGCAGAAGTACCTCTATTTTATTTTATTTATTCTATTTTCTCTGTTAGAAGTCCTTTATCTTGGATTGAGGAAGACACACACAGGAAGGGGATAGCTGGGAGAAAGGTGGCCCCTGCAGGAAAGGCAGGGTAGAAAGCTCCTCTCCTTTTTTCTCATTCCTTGGTTTCCCTTATTACTTTTTGTTATTTAGACCAGTTTGATTTTTATTGTATTTTATGCTAAAAACTTTCAATAAAGAAACACTTATTTAAAAAGGTCCTGTACTAATTCGGCCGTGCAGCTAGTTCTGCGAGTGCTGGCTGTGGTTTCCAGGCTACTGCTTCTTCTTAACAAACACAGCTGCAAATGGATGGGTCTTAGAGTGCAAATATGTGGCTTTAGTTGCAGCAAACAGGAACCTAACCTGAAGTGCACTTCACCAGAGAACTGTCGGCGACATAATGCATTGGAAACAGGAGCATGCATGTGTTGCATGTGGGGGTGTGTGGCGGGTGTACAGGCCAGAGGTTTTGTGCTGCACCAAAGATCCTGATGGAAAAGTCTGCAGCATTGCCAAGCCTCACCAAGCAGATGGTATGCAGAATGGGGGGGAAGGGGAGCCAGAAGCACCTTAGGCACTCAATTAAGCAGGGGCCGTTTTCCTAGTGCCGGCTGAGCTGGAAAAAATAAATCTGTGTATCAGCAGAACAATACTGGAGGTGGAAGTGATGACTTTGAAATATGGCACCTGCAATACCGAGCAGTGTTGCATTAGAAACCAACGCCCCTTGGGATGCTTGCTGAGGAACCCATTTGAAATATATTTCTCCAGAGGCAGGGCAATTACGTAAACAAAGGAGTGGAGATGGCGTAACATGCAGGCGACCCCAAAATTACCGAGGGCAGCTGGTGAAGAGTGAAGAGCATGATAATCAGGGGGGAAAGAACTGAAAGTGTTTTAAGGGACTAAGATCAGGTAAGGGAACTGCAATGGCAGATGAATCTCAGGGTTAATGAATGCAGAATAATGCACGCCAGTGACATGGACTGTTGATTTCTTAATGGAATGGCCTGAATCGCCTAGGGCAGTGTTTCTCAAACTAAGAGCCAGGACTTACCAGTAATCTTTGAGCCATGCTCAAGTGGAACTCAGCGCCACCTCCTGCGCCCAGCACTTCCTCGCTTGCCTGCCTTGCCCTCTGGTTGTGCCATGACCTTTCGTTGTTCCATGACCAAGGACCAGCGACTGGCAGGGTCAGGAGAACAGAGAGCCTCGTGGGGAGAGAAGGGAAGGAAGGCCTCCCTCCTCTGATGGGAAAAGGCCGCAGGAGGGGCTGAAGGAAATTTTCAGCGGCATAAAAGTTCAATATTGTTATTAATCACACATGAACTGGAAGTAGGGAGGAAATGGGGTAAGAGAGGAAATTGTTACAAGAGGAAGAAGTAAATATGTGAAAGGACGAAGGAGGAGGCATGAATGACCCTGGGTTAAGGTAGAAGTTGGGTGTGGAAAGAATGAGAGAAGAAATGACAGGAGAGGGGGGAAAACATCCTTTGAGGCATGTAGGGATGGATATGGGAAAAGGCAAAAGGAAAAGCTATCTCCACTTGAGAGCCTCTGAATCAACAAATTGAGTGGGAAGGCTGTCACAAGACCTCCAGAGCAAATGCCTGAACTTCGCGTGAGGAAAGCTGAGCTATGGAACTCCCTGCCACCAGGAAAATGCCATGGCAAACCATTCAGCAATTTCTAGAGATGGATTAGATATCAGTAGAAAGTGATGTCAGGAACTGCCACCGGTTCTGCCAAACTCTGCCTCCACCTGTCACCATTTTGTGACTGGTGGGCCTCTGTAATACTCAGTTGTCTTAACTGAACCTGGGGGTACAAATGGGCTGGGGGAAGCTGCCCTAGGGAGAAGGGGGTTGGGGGAACCATTCAAAGCCACTGCCCAAAGCCAACAGCACACATACCCACAGCCTTTCTGTCAGAATTGACAGGTGGAAGGGCTCGAATTTTGGGCTTGGCTGACAGGGCCAGCCCATCCATTGGTTGTGGGTGGGTGTGTCTCCAGTTTAGGGTAGGAGAGTAAGGAAAGGTTGAGGAATAAAGCTATTCTCTGCTACTCCTGGGAAACCAAGCAAGGACACCCCCCCCCCCGTTACAGCTTTTAGCCAAAATTCTCTGTGTTTCAAAGTAATATTCTTAAATGAGCATAGCGCCAAAGCTCCTGGATGTTTAGTCAGCAAAGGTTTGTGGGCCACGTTTATCAGTCTTGATGCACCTTTTCATGCTGATTTCCTTTTGCTTTTCAGTAAGATTTTATTTACCAAAATCCAGCCCTCTGATGTCATACAATCAAATAAAAAACAGGCATGCAAGCATTTTAAAGGAAATATGCAAGGGAATATCCATCCTTTCTCTGCCCTTGAACCCCATCATGTCTCGTTAGAGATATATATTTATATCTGCAGACAGAGATATGCCATACTTTTTAATTATTAGAGTAAAAGCAAACATTAAATTCACTTTTGCAATAGGCGTGATATGAAACTGAGCCCTCTGATACTTTCTAGTTATTTACTCTCCTTTTAAATAATTAATCTGGGGGATGTTTATATGTTAAGAAATTACATGGCAACACTCAATGGGGAAAAGGCCAAAGACTGCAAATCTGCAGTTCTGCCACTTTGAGCAATAAATCACTTATTTTAAAGTCTACTAAACGGATTCACCAGCTTCCAGGGATCCTTCCATTTCTGGTACAAGATTTATTTCTTCGCTGAATTATTGTAAATAGTATTACTGACCCTTAAAATAATTTTTTAATGAACAGCACTTACCAGAGCAAAACATGGAACACTAAAGTATTTTGTTACTCTGCAAACTGATTAAAATAAGCCTTGTTAATTGCAACAACCTCTTTCCTAAATTTTGGAACTTTACATTTTTGTTATTGTTTTACTATGTATTTTGTGTTCTGATTTCGTATTTTTATGTTGCGAACTGCCCTGTGATCTTTGGATGACTGGCGGTATACAAATTCAAAAATAATAGCAACAATAGCTTTTTTAGACAGAACAGATATTTTTGCAAGATGTTTGCACCTTGACCAATGAGCTAAGTGTGTGTGGCTTCTCAGATATCAGCTGCAAATCAATAATTTACAAGTATGCACAGCAGGACAATAAAAACACACATCTACTACATGTTTATTTTATGTAAACATTTTTACATAAAATATACATTTATTATTATTGCTTTTAGTTTAGATTTAAGAATGACACGTGAGAAAATTCTGGCACTTTCCCCATTATTTGAGCAGCAGAAAGTTCCAGGGACAACCTTTAACAGGGTCAGTTCCCTTGTACTGTAGTTTGTTAAGGGTTGGTGGGAATTTTAACTACACTGTGCAAAAATCTTTGAGGGGAAAACTGTGCTCCCAAAGTGCTTCGAAGGTACAGTGCGTACACCAGCTCATATTGGGAACAGTGGGCTTTTCCTGATCTAAGATGTGCCTGGACTTACGTTCCACCTGTACATTTGTAAACAAAATCTACCATTAGAAAATGCCATAAGCCTCAAGTGACCTCCTTCCAAAAGAAACTAAACCCAGGAGAGCGATGTGCCCTTAGAACTTCTGCTTGTGCAGTGAAGTGGGTGACCACAACGGCAATCTCTTCATTGTGTATGGCTGCTACAAGATACATCCTGGTTTTCTTGGGTTTTCTTTAATGATGGGCCAGTTTAGGGAAAATATCATGGTCCCCTAAAGAGCATAAATCCTTCCTAATTTGCTTATTGCTTTGCAACTCTTGCAAACTGATTTGCATTTATATAAATTTACATATGTGTCTGTGTGTGTATAAATGTGTATGTGCATGTATACATATCGTGTCATATAATGGCACAAGCAATCATGACATATATTTCATACTGTACTGTTATGTAAGGGGTTCAATTAATAGAGATGCTAACATGATTTAAGGCAGCGGCAGGTCAAGGGTAGACCAGTGGGGGAGCTTCAAGCTACGGTGGGGTGGGGGTGGAGAGCAGGCGGGGGGCGTTGCTGTCGCGTGTCCTGGGGGTGTGGCGCGCTGCCTGCAGGGTCATGGCGCCCAGCGTGGGGGGGGGGCAGCCGCGATGGCATCCCACCGGGATCGTCCCACCGGGATCTTGCCACCAGGGGCGGTGCACTCCCCCCGCACCCCTGTTCCTCCGCCAGTGGGGTAGACATCCAGCTCCAGACTCTTGCTATGCCACATCATTCCATATTCTTCTAAAGTATGTGAAATATGAACTTGAACTGTGATAATGCTTCTTGCTTGCCTGGGTGGAGATGGAGGGGTGGGGGTTGTGTGTGTAGGTAGGTAGGTAGAAAGCTCTAATAATTCTCTTGCTTTTGTTGTAATGCTAGAGTTTGTGGGTAGACAATTCCGTCCAT